TTTTAGGGAAGGGACCTGTGACCGTAGTAGAGGAGGAAAACAATGTTATGTTAGTGTCGTCCATGCCATTTTAATCAAATATTGACATAAAACTTCTAGAGCAAGGGCGCACATGGTCCCTAGGCAACAGCAATCGTGATTACAAAAAGTAAGTAAAAATCTAACATTAGCAATAGCATAATACCAAACATGTATATAAAAGTTCTGTTACTGTCACTAATTCGTTACATCTTAACTTAAAAAATATATATATACTTTCCAGCAGTGATAAATTGAATGAAGAGAATTTATGGATTTTTCACTTATGATCTTAAATGAGGCCTTACCTCTTCTACGTCCCAGAAGTCTTCGTCTCCCAGCAATGCCCTGTAAGCGTAGGCAAACTTGAAAGCTTCCACTATCCTGTGATAAGTTAGCACTGTGCTGTTTATATCTTTACGGTCTGCAGCAGTCATATTGTAACCTGTGAAACAACAGTGATTACCGCTCTTAAAAGTTTCATTACCACGTGCGAGACAGAGATAAGCTGCTCAGCAAAGAGAGTGATACATTCTAGTTTTTATTTTGCTATGCTTTCTTTTTGCTATCGAAGTTCATAACTAAATGTATTCAACTCTGAACTAGCCATTTCAAATGATACAAATTAATTGCGTCATAACACTTTTAGATTATGCCGCATAAGCCCTTAGATTATTTTGGGTCGCTGTTGGGTTAATTTCAGTTTCCAGCCTTGGCAAACCTTAGTTATCACACTGTTTTTTTTTATTTTTAATTCTAGGTGACTCAGTGACATCTAGCTCTGTTCTGGTTTATTATTGTGAATGAACTACCTTTGATACCTCGCATGCTAGTATTAAACTTTTCACATAATCCTCTCGGGGAATTCTCAAAGATGCCGGCTTGGAAATCGAACTTCAGGACCTTTTGATCTTAGCCTTAAAGAGATTAGCCTCTTACATGCACTCAATCAGTAAACCGTGGCGGGATTGTAAATGGCACAATTGTTGCAGCTGCGCGAAAAGGAGAGAGGGTTGGGTCGAGTCACGTTGCTTGCGCGACCCGACTCAAACTCGATTTTTTTGTTTTGCTCGTGCCTTTCGTTTCTTTCACTCTGTTTTACCAAATAGTTGAACATCAGGAACGAGCTATATGAAACAGGAAAAAAAAAACACCAGAGGGACTGATTCAGAAGAAAATTACGACAACAGCACACCCATACCTTTCACAATGTTCATGATTAACGACAAGACGGCGCCACTACCCGGAGGTGGGTTCGTATATAAAGTGTAATCATCCATCTTTACTGTAAGTGGCGTACGAACTACCGTTCGGTAGTTTTTCAAATCCTCCAACGTAATGATGCCCCCACCATCGCGAATGTCTTTTACTATGTCCTGAGCCAGTTCGCCGGTGTAGAAACTACTTGGATCATCGCGAATTCGCTCCAAAGTTCTACCGAGCTTTGGCATTTCCAAAACGGCTCCTAATTCCTTCAAGTTTCCTTTACTGTCCAACAGTAATTCACTGAAAATAGACATGCAAACAAAAATGAGGTTAACTAAAGGAGAACAATGTATTCAATTCATATTCAACCTCAGCATGTTTTATAGATATGTAATTATTAAAAACAAAAAAACTCAGTGTTTCCACCTCATAAGCTTTCATTTACGACAACACGGACTAACTAGTTATCCTGGACTCCTTTTCAAGACAATTACTCTTGAAAGAGGACAAAGCACAAGAACTAAAGAGAAAAAAAAAACCATTTTGAAGCACAGTTAATCAATGCTACAATTCCTTAAGGTATACTTTAAGCTAGGCCAAAGTAAAGTGTTTTTTGCGGTTCCGAGACTACTCCCGACAGCGAAGACGAAATCACCACGAGGAAACTAACCACAAATCTTTCATCAAATTCTAGCAGACTATTATACTTAAGAGCAAGATTAAACAAAAGTATGGCACGAAACTTGCAACATAAAGTTTTTCGTCCGAGGGGCGCTCTTAATTTTGAGCAAAATCACACAATTTAAAGAATTAGTGTAGACTGAGTAATGGGTGCATTAGTGAGGCCAATTATCAGGCCATCGTGACCACGCTAACCCACTAGATCACTCTCACGGTAGTAACCCATTTTTTACCTCAATCCAGGATCTTTCTTGATCGCTGCCAACGTGGAATTACGGCTTGCCGCATAATGTGCAGCATGTCCAAATCGAAATCCATTCTTGGCTAAATCAATAGCCGGTTGGACTACATCCTTCCAAGGAAGCCTTCCGTGTGCCTTCCATGCTGCAAGGTATCCGCTGACCTCACCTGGCACACCTGTGGCTGAAGCTCCTACAGTTAAAGGTGGGGGAAGGGGAGGTTATCTTTAAGCAATGAAGCTTTTCTAATAACTGCTCAGTTTAACCTTGGCCGGGTTATTGTGTTGTGTTCTCGGGACCTGTAGCCTCATATGTCATTATGTGTTGTAGTGATGCGTCGTAGTGGGCCTTGTGCCCACAGTTCATCACGGTTCCCGCAGGATGCAGGGACAAGAAAGCGCTATGAGCGCTTTTGAACTTTTCAAGTGAACATGGACGATATGTTAAAACGCATTAAAGAGTAAGCGTTTTCAAAACGGAAACGCGGTGAGGTGATGAACAAGCTATTGTGGGTGAAAATGATTTCCTCGTTTTGGCTAAGCGTGGGCGGATTCCTCCAAAAGGAACAAAACCTTTATATCTCACCTAATTTGGAGTTGAGGCTGCTGTTGACATACATATTAGCGCTTGCATTCCCAGGAGCAACTTCTCTGAAATCGTACACTTTGGCCAGTCCTAGACTCCTATTATACACGGTCATGAAACCACCGCCACCGATGCCGGCCGAGTGCATATTGATGATACCTATACAAAATAGGGCAGCAATGGCAGAGTCCACCGCTGACCCATTCTTCTTGAGGATATCTCGTCCCACTATTGAACAAGGGGCGGCGTCCGCTGCTACTACTCCGTGAGTGTAAGGTCCATCGGCCCCTGCGGGAGCTAGGGTGAGGTGAAAAGACATGATCGTCACAATTAGCCACAGTCAAGAAAAAGTGTTAGATGCTTCTTCAGGATAAAAATCAATCGTGTTAAGGGAAACCGCAAAAAAGATGGTTTCCAATTTTTTAAAAATATCAAAGCAAACTTAAGTTTTAAAATCAGTCAGTCAGACTTGATTAAAATCTTGGGAAGTACTGATAAATATTTCGAGAAGAACAAATTTTTTTTAAAGTAATCTCTTCTATTTAATTCTCTCCTAATACAAAATGCAAAGGAAGAAATAAAGTCATCAGAGTGTACACTAAATCTAGGAAATAAAAACCTGCATCACCGTTGTAAAACTTTAAAAATGTTATTATGAATCATTTTGTTATGAAATTTAAGAACGATTTCCAGCCGTGCAAGCGCACTGGCTTCAGTATCTGTCCAGCCTCTTACCTCCAGTAGGTAGCGGCGGCACTATGAACTCAGTAGGCCCCGGCACAGTTTTTTCTTGTTTTCCTTGTTTTTCTTGTTCTCCTTCTTTTTTTCTCAGCACCAAGGCAAGAACAATAGCGAGAATTATCACAATCACAACGATAATCGCTACTGCTATGATGATTTTCCATTTTTTGGAGCTACAAAAGTAAACAGAATGTTTAAATCACCCCATTTCAGAGAATGTCTCTTGCAAACCACCTATCGAAATCTGAAATTACGGTTTGAGGATAATCGCATATACGCATCGACCTAGGAAGCCGATTTGAAGATGACAATAACTTGTGAAGATGCATGTGTCGCACCAGTGAAACGCAGAACCCTCAGGGATTCAGTTCGACAACATGATAATAGTGTCGGATCAATGTCAGTGGGGTGTTAAAGAAAACCACGATGGCAACGCCAACGGGAACGGCAGTAGACAAAAGGTTCAATAAGCAGAACAATGGCTGTACACGTGCGTCATAAATCTTTGTAAATTTCTTTGCCTCCTTTGCAAAACAACAACGTGAAAAGAACAAACTTTGCGTATTCTGGTAAACGTGAACGACGACGGCTAATTGATACAAACGATGTTTAAAAGGAAAATTTGGTAGGGGGGTCCATATTTGCGAAGGGGGTCCATATCCACCGGTCCAAATCCACGGGGGGTCCAAATCTGCTATGACACCGGCAAATAGTTATTTATGCAAATTTAGGATTATAACAAATTTAATTTTCCTTAATGAACCGTAGCTAATATTTGTTCGATAAGCAGCCGAACCAGTTGTTTAGACTATTTTAAAGGGCCTTTGTTCTGACAATCATACTCGTCCAATTGAGAGTTTATAACAGTTTACGAAGACCACAGACTGAAATGCTCTTAAGAGAGAAATGTTCTCCATTTAAGCACCACAGTAATAAACAGTAACATTATGAAGCCGAAAGAACAGGTCTAGTTCAACTGGTGTGTTTAACTCCGATGTTGACAAGCGACAATAGGTACAAGCCTTCATTTCATACACAGGTTTTCTCTTCCTTCTCTTCCTAGGGCTTCTGATGTTAAAACATCTCTTATGCGTATCCATATGACGTAAACAGAAATGTAATTAATGGTTCTGTTTATGTCATAAGAAGAGCCATGTTTGACAGAGTAATTGTTGGATAATCCAGCGAACAATATAATGGCTTTGTTTTCTTTCTCCATAACACAATAACCGCAAAGGAAAAATACCAGCACTCATGCAATCAACATTGAAATCGTCGTTTCTGCTCAAAGCTATTGCAATCGTTGATCTTGAAATTCTCGAAAAACTGTGCAATAAACCTGCTGCTTCTTTTGTATCTCACGTACTAACTGATCCAAATAAACATTCTCATGGTTTTGCGCAAATTAGTAGGAATCATCACAAAGACTCTTGTTTCGAGCACGATTACGGTGCGAAAGAATAATACGTTCGAAATCAACTTCGCGGAATTCAATGGCGATTCAACGCGTCAGTCTTACAGAGCGAAGATGTTTACCATGAAACCGATCATTCTAATTGGAACTTTAAGTTCCACACAGCTAATAAACTTAAACGCTGGCAAATTGGAATAAAACTTAGAGAGATGACTAAGTTGTTTGGAGAACTTTCTTTGAGATTATAACTGCTCCGGAGCGAAAACTTCGGTAAAATTTCCGCACAGCCCCATACTATTGTTTTACTCACATTTTGGGACGTTGTTCCTTTAATTCCACCTTCTGATCTGCATCTGGGCCGTCCTCAACCTCCCTGTGAAAGAAAATTGCTCAACTTACAATATGCAAGATATCAATCTCTGAGCAAATAAATACGTTTTAGAAAAGTTTATAAACAAACGTCAGATTGAGAAATATTGCACTTGAAATTACCGTAGCGGTTCAAATTCATTTTTTTCCATCTTGCGATGAACAAGTGCACGTGGAGTTTAAAGCCTTTTGTCTGCTGTAGAATTGTCCTCGTTGGTTTTTGCCAAACATTTACCTGCTGTCGCCTTTGTGCAAAACAATTTTTAAGAAATTCACACGAGAAGGCCTGTGGCGAGACAGGCAATGATCTTTTTACCGTGAATGTCGCTTTCAAAACGAAACAAATAAGTCATTTTACAGTTATGTACTTAGTTGCCAAGCCTTTGATTTGGAGTGAGGCTGAAAGTGACCTTGTTGTGATAGAGACCTGTATCTAGCTACATGATAACAAAATAATTTGCATTTGAAAAGCAGCAAGGTTTGTATCATAACAAGGTCACACTTAGCCCCATTCCTGTTTAAAGGCTTGGTAACCAAGCACACAACTGTAAAATGGACTATTAGTGGTCCCGAGAAAGGAACTACTTTTAAGCAACACTAATTCACATTTTAATTCAAGGCTTCAAGTGCCTTCAGGATATTGTACACAATTAAAAATTGTTATGCTTGACGTCATCGCCAAGAACACAAATTATGTGTAGAGCGCACAAAGTTATTAACTAAACTGTAAAACACTGTGAGTGGAGTTAGTGAGGGTGTTACAAATTATTTTAATTTAAAAATTTCAAAGTGCTTCACTCACATCTTGTATTTCTGTCCTTCCATGTTACCTCCAGCAGATACAAACCTTATAATAAAAATATGAAGAACGCATTTTCAAATTTTGTTAAATATAGTCAAACCTGTTTTAAGTGGTCACCCACGTTGAAAGGCGCAGTGAATGCTTGAGACAGGCAGACCGCTTAATACAGGTTCCACATAATAGGGATATTAAATAGAAACGATGATAAACGAACATAAATAGATAGGTTTAATTTCTGTTGAAAGATTATTCTTAGTTTTCGTGACCGTTCAATACAGGTGGAAGAAAAGTAGGCCGTTGGGACTCAGTAAAGGATGACCGTGACCGCTTGATAAGGAAAAAAAATTAATTTTGAGTCTTTGAAAATTGACTGCTTAATACAAGGTGACCGCTTGATTCGGTGCCGCTTAGTACAGGTTCGACTGTACTACTTCAGTAAAACTCATTTTTGTTTGTGTTGTTCGGATTTGTCATTTTTTTTTTTTCACATTACCATTTTAGGTGTTTTGGTCTCCGCTGTCCTCATAATGGCTCATATACCATCATTATTAAGCCTTTAAACTCCTAAGAGTGACTGGTATCTAATTTCTCCTTACAATATCACCGCTGAATCACACATTAATGTCATGAGAATAAAGGAAATGGTCTCCAACTAAAGAAACTCTTGATTGTTAAACAAATTCTTCTTGTCAGCACATTAGTAAATGTACAGAGAACAGCATGGAGAAAATGAATGCTGATGTTAGGGTGTAAAGTGTTAAGCCAATAAAAATTGAGTCTATTACGCAAGAGACCGGTCGTAGATTGTTGCCTGGGGGGAGGGGTGAGGAGGATTTTGGTCGTGTCACAATAAAATTTTCCTTAGGCCTCCCTCTAAGCTGTGTATATTCTAAAGACCCCCCCCCCCCCCAACCCTTATAGACAGTCCCTCCTTTATACTCCGTTAGCGATGGCTAAGAGAGCGTAATCTCTTGCGATGACTGATTCCCTTCTGCTCTCCCTAAAAAAAATAGTGTGATCCCCCCACAAAAAAACGTCATTCGACCCATGGCTCCTGAGATCAAATTTATCCTCTACTAAATTTTGCACAACTAACTCGACACAGCAATTTAGAATTAGTATGAGACCAATATAAAACTAGGAAAGTCAAATATCCGATGGCGTTTATAATCCCATTTTCTTTCTGACGATCCCAATAATTTTGGCAAGAGTGTTCAAGGTTTCTTGGTTACCGTTGGAGCCTTGTTTGAAAAAATTCCGTTACGTTCGAAGAAAGGCCCGGAAATGCTGTACCATTTATGGAAACATTAAAAGTACGTGAGTGCATTGTACTTATTGAAGTACTTCTCGTGAGGGCAATACAATTGATTTGAAACATGACACGAAATGCCTCCGAAAAAGAAAGATAAAACGCGGGTTCATCTTGAACCGCGTGACATGTGCAAGTAATGGCTTCTTTTGGTAATTTACGAGCGTAGGGAAAAGTACTCGACGAAATTCGCAAAAATTCGAAATATTAAGCCTCCTCCTGCTTTCAATTAATATTTTGCTGTCTCACGGCCTTTCCGCTGTACCAGACAAAACGAGTGAAGTCCTAACAAAATCAAAAGAGAAATTTTGTCATAGCACATTTTGTTTTCGTCTGTTGCATCCGCAGTAAATTTCAACACGGAAAATTGGTTTGTGGTTAAACAGTAACTCGATTCCTTAATGATTTGAAGTTAGAGCGGTAAATTCATCTCAAAAATCTAACTAAAACGGTAAAATGTTTCTAGCTTCTACAGATCTCGTTAACCTAAGCTGGTCGCAAACTTTCCCCTCAATTATCTCGATAGTAAGTTAATTTCAACTAATAGAGCCAGAGAAGCAAGCCCATCGTTACGTTAGTCACAAGACTAGTGTCGACTAGTGACGTTCCATCTTTTACTACATCAAAGCCTTTCGAAATACACAGAACATCCTTGTTTTGACTCACCTTAAAAAACGCCAGGTTTGCAATTTAATTACTCTCTGGACCGACGTCTTTTGTTCCTTTGCGTTATGGATTGTAGCAAACAAAACCGAAAATCGAGTACGTCACTCCACACTGGCCACTGGCCACTCCAAGTCAAAGTCTGATCCTAATCTTTCGTCACTCCTATTGATTTTCTAGAGAAGCAGTATCCACTCGTTGTCACGCACATCTCAAATCCACCTTCCAGGGTCCCGTTTGGCCTATGTGTAGCCTTACCCTCCCTTCCCCCCCCCCCTCTAAGGTGAATCGGAGGCGAGGGAGGGAGAGGAGAAACCTCGCATCCGTTTCACCATGGCGGGGAGGGTCCCTAACGTACGTGATCCTGTTTGTTTGCTGTTTCGGAAAGGATTGTTTTCTTTCGTTTGGTGTGTTTACGCTCAGGATCAAGGTAACAGGGTTGTAAATTGGAATATTATGAAATCACATCTTCGACAAAGTTTAGATATTGAGTCATTAGAAAGAAAGGAAAGGCTTGTTGAAGGCCTAATTGTAATAACTATCCTAAATGTAATTAGTCCTAAATCAACATAACATTTGGTCCTAAATGTAATAAAGTCCTAAATGTAATAAAATTTAATCCTAAATATAATAAGTCTCCAATGCAATCGTATAACTCCGCTAGTGCATTGTTGTCGTAGTGGACATTCATATTGAGATGTTAAAGTGACAGCTGTTGCACCAAAAAATCTTCTGACCAGTATTCATGTCACATTGCGAGCTCGTTGATGTTAATCAGTGTCTTCTTATTTGCTAGAACTAAGTCGAGAAATATTAGCTGCAAACCGTTATACTGATAAACAATATAGCATCAAATAACAGCTGGCAAAACAATAAGTACGCTGACCTATATCTCTCTCTAAATATCACTGGCTCAGACTCTCAGGTACAATAGCCTTTAGAAAAATGGGATAACGTGACACTTGTGTGATCAGTGATCGAGTTAACAAGTCACAAACCAAATTACAAACTTGGACAAGGGAGTCCGCTGACTTGTAGGACAATTTGCAGGCTCGAATATACATTTTTCGAACCTGGGATCCCTTTATGGCTTCACTCCACCTCGGTAATCGGGTCATGTGCCATGTAACTATAAGTGTAAACTGACGAGCTTTCTTCTTTCATTTATTTATTTATTTATCTATTCATTTTCTCCCCTCACGGCGGGGAGAAGAGAAAAAGACAAAAAATGAAATAAGATCGATTTGAGATCGAAAGTGGAATATATGTTCTCTCTTGACCAAGCTTATTTGTTTTCATGTCTGTCAATTTGATGCCAAAAGCACATCAGTATAAGGGTTTGTGGCCACTGCTTCTCGACTTACGTCTCTAGCAAATAAAAAGATGCTGATTAATATCAACGAGCCCGCAATATATCATGAATATTGGTCAGAGGATTCCTCGATGCAACAGCCGTTACTCAAACATCTCACTGTGAATGTCCGCTACAACAACAATGCACTGACGGAGTTAAACGATTGTATTGGAGGCTTATTACATTTAGGACTAAATGTTGTTATATTTAGGACTTCATTAAATTTGGGACCAAATGTTATTACATATAGGACAGTTATTACATTTAGGCCTTCAACAAGGTTCTCTATTTTATTAGGCGCATTCCAAAGTCAGGTAACTGAGTAAACGAGGGAAAAACGCATTGGGAACGAAGGTATAGGGGAACGATGTCTTTCAAACGTAACTTCCCCGCGGGTACCCAGTTCTGTTGCTTAGAATTATTGTGACCAGTAAAGGGAACTAAGCAGTACTGTGATCTTTGCCACGCTTCCGACGTAAATATCCGTTTCCGTTGAAATTGCCCATTCCTTCGGGTGCAGTCGACACCTTCCCAGGGAAGCTCTCTGTGATCGACCCACACACGTCAGATGTGGAGGTTAGAGACAGTTGATTACTTCATATCTCATTTTGATTTGGTGATTGGTTATTAAACTATTGGCCTCTGTAGGAACTTTACTTGTTACTGAAGGTATGGGTATAAAGTAAAACAGAGCCAAGTTCTACCACTTTGGGTCATCAGGCCCCATCCGTTTAACACATGGAAGCAGATTGACGAAGGGCAGATAGTCAAAAATTCAAATTGTCTTATTAAAATCTCCAACACTCCTCACTTTCAATTGAAATTGTTTATTACACTGGCATAAAATCGTTAATTAGAGTGATGTTCACCAGGTTGTGGAAGAAATATTCCATCAAACATCTCGGCAGACACTTTCGCCTTACCATGAGTTCGAGCAAGGGACATTTTAAATATAGCAATAAGTTTGAAAGAACAAGTCAAAGCGAGCAAAAAAGGGAGTCCCCATGAAGAGTTACAGTCTGAAATTCATTTTTCGTTTTGCCGCAAACGCAAATTACTATTTGCTATAACGG